CCTGTTCCTCAGGGCAGCGTAAGGGGGATATGTGGCCGAGTGGGCTAGCGCACACCCGCTCGGAAAAAGCTCGTGCTGGAGAACCCAGGGCTCCTGGCAGGCACGTAGCCAGGATTTTGTTTCGGGGGGGAGGGATGGGGGGGCCTGCCTATGACAAAATGCTGTATGAGGAGGAGGGGGGAGGAGGAGGTCCCTGCAAAATGGAAGATTTCGGGGGGGGGGGGGGGGGGGGGGGAAGGCGGGCCCCGTGCCCCCCCCCCCCCCCCCCCCCTGGCTACGTGCCTGGCTCTTGGGCTCAATTCGCACCCCTGCCCGTTTCGACCTGGATGAGCATCGTACCGGCGTGCGGTCGTGTATCACTACTGCGTGATGCACGTTAAGACCCCAGGCTAGCGGTTGTACCGTACTGGCTAAATTGCTCATCTCCAGCTGGGAGACTCGTCGCCCGTTGAAGCAGACCAAGTTCTAGGCTGTATAAACATACACAGAACCCAATTTTTTTCTTCAGGGCAGCGTACTGAGCCCCACTCCCTTAAAGGGAAACTGAAGCGGTTCTCTATTTGAGAAAAAACATTTCAATGGCCTTCATTCTACCTCCAGGATCAGGAATATCAAGATTATTTTTCAATTTGGTGCACGGAGGCTTCAGAAATTAATTTTTAAATTACCGCCGAAGCCCCTCCTTCCCGGGGCGTGACGTCAAACTAGGAGCGTTCGGAATATCTGCTCTCGCGCATCTTCAGCGCCTGTCAAAGCTTTGCACGCGCACTCTTGCTATTTTCAGAAAGGTCAGAAAGAGACGTCACCACTGGTGTCAGTGCGGGGAAATATACCTGGCAAGCTTGCCGTTGCGCGCGCTGAACACACGAGCGACACGCGCTTGGAGGCCCGAAGATCATAGTATGACGTCACGACTGGTCGAATGTTTTTTCGCTTTTTCTCGCTTTTAGTTGCATCTTCGGGGAAAACAAAAGTGATATTCAGATTCACGGGATAAAAATACGCCAGAATTCACCTCTAACTCATTTTTTTCAAGAAGTGTTTCAGCTTCCCTTTAACGCTGTTCTGAATCAATTAATCCTTCCACAAGAACTACAGCATTATATCTACGCAGACGTCATATGCACAGCTGGGCGTCAACAATTTCTATCGACACCGTTAAAACATCATTGCAGAACGGTCTAGACCTTATTGTCTCGTTCTTAAAAGAGCATGGAATGGACATGTCTTCGACCAAATCCGCAGTGCTCTATTTCACCTGTAAAATACTAAAAGTTATCTTTACATGGAGAACCAGTAGAAAATATAAAGTCTCACCTATTTTTGGGTAGTTATAGATCGGACCCTTACGGTGAAATATGCACGTGTCTAGAATTGAACAAAAAATTACCAGGAACATAAATGCCTTGCGATGCCTTACGATGCCTTGCTATGCATTGCGGAAACCAAGTGGGAAGGCTCAACATCATCCCTATATTGCACGTGGCACCTGTGCGTCAAACGCTCGCCTACTCTATACCAGTGCTCCATGACCTCTCACGTAACTCCGAGACTCGACTATATTATTCTTGGCTTGCAACCCAAAGCCGGCGTCACACTGCTTATATATTATGCAAAAGACAGTCTGCATACAGATTCGAACGCGAGTCAACGCGAGATCCGTGCTTCGAATGCGCATTGCAGTGAGTTCAAGGAGAAATTTGGCACGCGGCATTGGAACCACGCATATTGTGGTGACTCGTGTCATACTGCATACTGCGTCATACTCCATACAGACTGTCGGTTGTATGATGAATGAGCAGTGTGACCCCGGCTTAAGAATTTGCCTGGGTGTGCCTCGCGCAACCTCAGGTGTTCTAGCTTTTGCAGAGGCAGGGGAGCCGCCAATCTCAGTCCTTCGAATGCAAGAAACCTGTCGCCATTTTTTTTTTTTGTTTAAAGACACAACATATCGATCACCCTCTTTTCCACAAAATTATAAGGAGAACAGGCACACGAGTACATAACATGCTCTTAGCACGTCCACGCCAACTACCAGGTTATACTCAATCCACAATTTGCAAAAAAGCTGCTGCGCATGCGCAAGCAGAGCGTGTTGCTAGCGCCCCCTGTTTGGTTGGAAAACAAATAGGCGTGCCGGTTATTCCTAGGCTGCGACAGAGGCGCGGAAGCGAAGAAACTACACTGTAGAAGAAACCGTGAGCGAGGACGAAGAAAGCTCGCGAGTCGCTTTTGTTTGTCGCCATGCCGGCGCACTGTATTTCGTATGGTTTCGCGAATCACTTTCATGGTAAAGAGAACGCCAAGTTTTTTTTTTTTGTTTTTTTTTTTAGATTTCCGTCTGCGGCAGGCTGTATTCTGCTCAGATAGGCTTGGATAGCTGTCGTGAGGAGAAGGAACATGGACGGCTCACCAATGGCAACCGAACGAGCACTGACGGATCTCCAGCGCACATTTTGTCACGGGTACGTCGTTTTCGTACGCTCCCGGGGAAATTTTTCACAGTATTCAGTTGTGTCTTGGGGCAACGCTCGGAACAGACTGCGCGCACGAACTTTACGCCCCACATGTATCAAGCCAAACTATGCATCGCGAAGCCTAGTGGTATTCCAACCACTTCCCAGCCTCGCACCCAAAATGTGGAGGCTTCCGGCGTTGCGCGATAGGCGGCACGCACTATTTTGCAAATCGTGGATTGGAAACACTCGTCTCACCTGCCCACTGAACGTTGACAAAGCCTAAACTACAGGTGACAAGAAATGCAAAAAGAAAAGCTCGCTACGCAGTATGGTGGCGGCCCAGCTGACTCTTTTCCACGTATACAATCAGCAATCCGTACCCCAGTTAAATTTAAGTGTACACAGATGGATCTACTGATGATCAAGGATAAGCTTCTATATTGTGGAAATGCGGGCATACATCGTTCCTCGCGAGACCCTAAAGGCCTGACCACACTAGCGGCAACGGCGCCGCCGGTCGGCGCCGCTAGGCGGCACCGGAGTCCGGCGTCCCAACGCGAGGAGGCCACATTGGCCTCCGTTTTTTCGGGAGTTACAGTCACGTGAGAGCACTGGTTCTCGCGTTTTCGTGATCGCGCGCGCGCCACCGTAGGATTTCCCGTCCTTTCGTCGTCTTCTTCGTTAGGTTCTTCCGTTTTTGGGCTCTCATCTTTCGCATAAATCAGCGTCAAAACCGCACTCGCATGCCTACATGCCAGGTATCGATGACGACCTGGTGATCAGCGTGAATGTGATCATCCTAGACTGTTCCTTGAACTCGCGACGTCGCGGCGCTCTGAAGGAACGGAGGCGCAGGTTGGGGTCCGGTCGAATTGCTGCTACTGAAACACCGAGGGACAGGTCAGTACTTCGCTGCCCCGGCTGCACGCCAGAGATGAAGGCTACTTTCGAGATTGTCGCCAAATCAACACGACATATGTCACAACGCAGGCGACATGTAACAAGTGCCACGGAGAAACTCACCTATTATGCCGAATTTATCTCCGATAATTTCTGAGCGGTTGTTCTTAGCGTCCCTATCTAGGTAGTCTGACTGCCTCTTGTCATACACAAAAAAGAAAGGTCGCACAGTTTCGAGGAAGCACTCCGCTGGGAGAAGCATTGGGGAAAATGGGAATTGCAGACGAAACGAAATTATGCTACGCTCCTTTGCAACGTGAAAGACGCTCGGAATAGCGGCTTGCGCGTTGTCATGACATCACAACGTTACTACCTACGCCACCTCCCACTGGTTCCTTTCTTTTGCGGCGAGAAACGGCTAGCCCTCAACCGCTCGCGGGCGGGTCGCCTGGCCGGCGCAGAGCAGGGAGCCGCTGAGGGTGAAAACTGGTTTTGGCCGGCAGCCCGCGGCGGCTAGCGGCGGGTGGGAAGCCCCCGCGTCGCTAGTGTGGTCGAGCCTTTATACAGGTTTTGCGAATATAAACATCGGCTAAAAATTGTGAAGTTTTAAGATTATTTTGGGTTTTTTAATATGTTTAAAGGGGTGGTGCAACGGCTTTCGAACTTTGGCCTAATATTGTGGGAGTTGGTCTCGGTCATTGCTAGACCCAAGAACAGAAAATCATTTCTGCTTCCGTGCACTAATTTTCAGTTTAAAAAATGACAAAGATTGAAGTTTTCGGCGCCTCTCAACTCGTGCATCGGCGATAGAGTACTTCCGAGTCACGTGCGCAGAGACATCTCTGGGGGATCATGTCATTTCCGGATGGGCTCGGGACCTCTGTTTTTGGTCCTCAGCAGGCGCTCCTCCTGATTCTGAACACCGCGTGAAGCGTGTTCCCGACCAACACGGCGTCATATGGCGCGTTTGGCTCTGACACGGCGCACCCCTGAGGGGTTTCTGGCGCGGTATGACGATGATAGAAGAGATTTTGATTTTGAACAGGGGACTCCGGTTCAGGCACAACAAAGCACCGCACCCGGTAGACATCGCCCGTGATCGCGGCGGACAATACTAGCGTACATTGAGAAAAGCGAGAAAACAAAAATTCAGACACTTCTCTGCTCAACCAGAAGGTTTGTGCCGTTTTCCTCCTTGTGCATATAGGCTTAGATTTTGTTTCAAACTCATACTCTTGATATTTGAGGATGATAGATACACCTATCAAAGAAATATTTGTGTATGGTTTCAATACACTCCGTTGATATTTATACGAATTTGTTTGCCTCCAAATAGCGTTATCAAGGCATGGGTTGCAACATGAAACTCACGCACTGTGTGGTTAGCGTGAACAAGATATCGGCGAGTATTTCCCTACTATAGTTTAGTGTGGAAAAACCCATCGCTCAGCGCCAACTGGTGCCCCACGCATTCCACATGCAGTTTTTGCAACCACGTTCCAGCTGTGAGAAGTTAAGGAAGTACAAACCGCGGTCGCGTGTTCGTGCTAGTCGCTTCTTCTCGTTCTGGCGAACATGTTGTCGAACCTTGACTCCGGACAATTGTTCGAGCGTCGACGAGCGTCGTGACATGAAAAGCGGTGCATGTACTGTGCGTTTATTGCTCCGAAAAGGGTTTACACACACGAAGCAAAAGGGAGGCGAAGCTCGCAGTAAAACAGAAGACGGGGCTGGCAGACCTGAGCGGGCTGCACGCTTTGCTCCCATTGAAATATATACACAGGTCCCGGGTGGCTTTATGTACATCTACGATGAAGAGGGGCAGTTCGTTCGTCGAACCATGACAGAATGCTGGGAAACCGAGAAGTGGAGCCAAGGGCGTGCCCGCGCAAAGCGGCGAAGGAAGGCTGCCCGAGCAGGAGAAGGGAGTCTCTGGCTCAGGCCTTGAACTGCTGCTGGTAGCGAGGAATGAGCGGGAGGGCGCGCTGCACGTCGCTCTCGTCGTGCAGGTTCACCTTCTCCTGGCCGATCCTGTCGTTCAGGTAGAAGAAGTCCGGCGAGCTCCTGCACGCCACGGCGTCTTCCGGGAAGGCGCAGGTGAGCGAGAACTGGTTGAAGACGGTCTGGTTGCCGCAGAAGAAGCTGTACTGCTGCACCTCGGCGCTACCGTCGTCCTTGGGCACCACGTTGCACACGTGGAAGATCTGGCAGTTGTTGTCCACGTCGGCAAAGTAGCCGATCTTGGCCGGGCACGTAAAGGATGTCTTGATAGACCCCACGATTAGCTCGGCGCCGTCTGGGAGCTCGTAGGCGGCACGCTTCGCCTGCGGGAAGATACAAATTACTGCAGTCTGACACAGCTCGGGGGTTGCCTGCAGGTTCCAAGGTTCGCTCAAAGAGTCCTACTGAGTACTCGAGGAATGGAAGAAACATTCTGATTACTTTGCAGCCAACGCCGCAATACTAATTCCGGTTTCGTTTGGACTAAACGATTGGGGTTGGCTGGGCTCAGCTTTCGAGAGCGCACGTCACGGCATAAGAGGAAGGAGAGCGCGGAGTGATTGGGAGGGCCAAAAACGGTCCCCGCGTTACACACTCTTCCAAGCAATTATTTTCTACCCACTAAAAACAGTTTGCGTGCAGGCCATCGGGGGCAACAAGTCTACCATATTGATATTAACCCAACACTGGGGCATCTAAAAAGAACTGCAGAGGTTTATAAACGAGGAAAGACAACGTCTCAATGTCGTTATCCGTCTTTTTTCTTGCTTTTTGAGTGAAAACATTCAACGTCCCCAGCTTCGACGTGTTCCTCTATAGCAGCCAATCGGCGCCCAATATAGCTTCTCGGCAAGGCCTCCATTGTCGAAGGGATGTAGGAAGGGTCGGTCTGTGCTTTGTCTCGCAAAAAATAAACAAAAAGAGAGGGGGTTCGGCGAACGACCGCGTGGTTATCGTCTGACGCTTCAGAACGTTTTGTCCGTGATCTGCCGCTCCCCCTTAACCTTTGACCGCGACCTGGCTGTATATTGCTTTGGCGCGGAAGGCGCAGGCTCATCGAACGCCTGAAAGTACCAAAATAATGATTTCATCGGACAAAACTTGGACTTTGGAGAAAAGTGACTAACAGCGTTTCAAAAGTCCCGGAGCTAACCAACAAGGAACAGAACTTTTGAAAGCGAGAAAGGGAGAAATGCATTTCGAAGACCGAAAAATCCAGCTCGGGCCAGTACAGAGGGAAATTTGGCTTGTGTAGATTTTTGGACATGTCGCCGACACAAGTTTTGCGACCAAAAGTGGCTGTAGTGGACAACTCGGGAGCTGCGGGGAAAACTCGAACATCTGACTGCGTCGCCCATCGAAAATTGCATCGCTGGCGATCGTCTGCCGGCGCCCGTCTTGAGGAGACGAAATCTCCCAATGGCTTCGAGATTTAAGGGGACGAGCAGAAACAGCTGTCGTCATGGGCATTTGAATGACCTCGCAAAGGCATTGGTTTCACGTGACGAGTGTCGTACCATTGGTTTTCTACAAAGAGATCGATGTCTGTCAACATCTTAGTAGAAGACAAAAAAAAAAACAAGAAAACATAACGCAACAACATAAGCCAAAAAAAGAAAAAATCCGCGTTATCTTGTTCGCGGATCGCCAATGGATGTCCCCATTCTACAGATCGTGCGCTGCCCCGTTTGCATAAACGCACATACGAAATTCTTGTACCAAAATAAAGTCTGGTTCGCACAGCCCCGTTTACTTACGTTACGCTACGTTACGTTACGATACGATACCTTACGTCTGCTTACGGCACAAGTCACCGGGACATATGTGCTTTATATTAAGCGTGGCTACCAGTTCATGGAGATAGCCCGGCACGCGACATGCGAGACCAGGTATGTTTCCGTCACTCATACGAAAAGGCTTATTCACACAGGGGGACTTGTTTACGTTTTCTTACGTTGCGTCATGAATCATCGAGACATACGCGCTTCGCATGCGCGTGCAAAACTATTTCACTTGGTTGCGAACGCTTCGGGCGAAGCACAGACGACTCTGGACGAAAGCAGACATAAGCTCTCCTAGCATAAGGTAACCTACTAAATCGGTCAACCAGCCTTAAAGGGGCACGGAAACGAAATGATTGCTCTTTTATTTCTTTGTTTAGAATTGATTCATGCTGTGCCGGCCGCCCAGAAACACGAGCCTAGACTAGTGTTTCTGGGCTACAGGCACAGATGTCAAGAAAACTAACTTGAAAACGAATAAAATGATTTCGAAATTGCGTCTGGTGGCGGTCTGTGAAGCTCCGCTGTAATACCGTCACGTCATGAGTTCCTAAGGAGCAGCGCCAGTTCGCGGCAGTGTGGCTCGTTCGTGGAGTTGTACGTAGCCCTGAATGTGACTTGGCGGAGAACGCTAACGCGTTTACTACACTCCGTTCACCGACAAGCTGAGACTGTAGCCAGAGCTACAAGCGCGAGCTATATCCTGCGCTCCTGGCTTTGAGACATGCATTTCTAGCGCGAGCGCTCGTTCTGCGGAAGAACGCTTCAAAGCAGCGACCTCGAGTTCTCGTGGTCGTGGCATTGGCTGCAGTCTCAGCTTACGGGTGCACGAAGTATACGGTGTATATATTAAAGCTTCCACGGTGCTTCCGGAATCTGCATTCCACGCAATCAAGATCGCCGTTCTTTGCAGACGTTAAGCGGGAGCTTGATCTGAGAATGCGGGGATCTCTGCCAGGCCAACCATAACCCCCCCCCCCCCCACCTTCCCCCGGATGCGCTGTGAATTGCGCGCTCAAATATGGCACTAAGTGAGTGCCTTGTATACATAGCTTGCAACTGTCGCCATTGCTGGGTACTGACGGTAATTTCTACTTACTTGTTCCCTCGAGCCACTACTTGTGCGGTGCGAAACTAACACGCTGAAGCAAACGCTCGTGGCACATAAAATGCCGGCATGGCCGCAAATGATGTTACGGACAAGCGTACAGTCCTCAGACATTAGCACTAGGCGAAATCGTTAAAGCCCCTCTATCCGGGGAAAAGTGGCGCCATTTATTGTTGTGCAAATGCTCGAGAGTCGAGACACGTGCCGCGCGCCACTTCTGGGAAGAACATGGCGTCTGAAATCTATAGCTCAGTGCTGCGCTGTGCCGCCATGATCTTCCCAAGTGCTGCACGTTGCCCGTGCCTCGTGCATCGAAGTACCTTGCGCTACTTTTAAAACGTTAAGGGGCTTTAGAAACTGTAACGCGTTGACGCCACCAAGCGGCACGGCTCGCAACTACAGTACCCGATTGACCGCGCGAGAACTATTGACGTCACGAGCGCGATACGCATAGCGCTTCTCGCTGGCCGACTTTGAAGCGAGGGGTAGCGAGCTGCGCGCTCACGTCATTTCGTTTCCGTACCCCTTTAACTCACTCGGACATGATCCATGGCGGCGAGCCGGGCTGTAAAACTCGAGAGCGCACAACGAGAGAGCTCCGACGGGAGAGTGCGCGCCATGAGAGCGCATGTGCGCGCTGTGAAAAGTTTGTCACACTGATTATACATCATACAAAAAACAGTCTGCGAACCCGAGTCACCCCAATATCCGTGCTTTGAAGGACGCGTGCCAAGCTTTCTCCTTGAACTCATTCCCATGCGGCATTCGGAGAACTGATGTTGCGGTGATTCGCGTTCGAATCTGCATGCAGACTGTCTTCTGTGTGACGTATAAGCAGCGTGACTCCGGCTTAAGGGGTCACTACTCGATCAAACTCAACCAGCGTTCGAGGGGTCGTGCTCTGCCGGCATCGCGGAAGGGACAGTTCTGTGCATGTTTTGAAACGCAATAACATTTCTTTCGGCCTCCCTTTCAGGACTGGAAATTCGACAAAAAAGCGTGCATCGATTGACTCTGAGTGTGTGTGTACACAGCAAATGAGGGGGTAGAAGGGGACATGGTCTGGTCGTTCTTTGAGAGTAGAAAGGCAATTGGTGAATTGGAATTTTAATAGAGCTTAATTGAAATGGAGGATACGCGGTAAGCACGGAAAGTATACGAGCAGTTAGGTATAAAAAGGTTTAAACACAAAAAGAACGAACAGAACCCGAAAGCTGACATTTAAATGCCTACTCACTAGTGATGGAACGGAGCAGACTACTTCAGTCAAAAAAAAAAAAAAAGATTTAAAAAGCAACATAAAACATGTGAAAAGGAAGAATGCAAGATAAAGTAAGCGCTGTACATGTCACAAAAAACAGGACATTACAAAAAGACTGGAGTTCGATCAATCACGGGAAAGCACTTTACTGACTGAGGCGAGAACGGAAGTGTAAAATTGTCGGCTCAGAAAGTTATGGTTTGAAAATCCGTGAGCACGTGCACAAACGAGCGCGGGCACTCTATCAACCAAGAAAGCGGCTCAGCTGCAATGACCTAAATTGGGCCACCCTAAGGTCCCTTTTGTGCCTATTGCGGCTTATCTTTTCGCCCTCAATGTTGTTCAGAGCCTCATCTCCTCTCCCCTTCCTAACGCTCGCATTGTTTCATCGTAGAAACTCTCGAACCCCGTTTTCTGCCAGGGGGCGTCACTTATTTCTAAAATGGTGAATTGCAGCTGTGGGGAGGATCGAAAATCTACAATAGCATCTTTAGCAATTATTAGAAAATGCAGCTTTCCCAAATAGATGTTTTAAAACGCTGCTTAATTCGCTTTGGGGCTAGCTGTATGTGAATTACTGAATTGGTTCAATTTTCGACGTTTATATATCATGTGTGGACGGAACGAGAACTGGCAGAGCGACGGTAGATTTGTGTACTTCTAGTTATAACTTTGAGTAAAGTGAAAGAGTCTACACAAACTAATCTTTGCGATAGGTTACGTAAACTTAAATCTGTTCACCCCCTAAAGGGCAACTTCGGTCAAAAATCAAATCAAATTAAATGACTGGTATCGCTTCAGTGGCACGAAGTATGATGACAGCCAAAAATAGTGGGTTAAAATGAAACCGCCTACTCCGCTAAAACCGATATTAAAGACGCGACCAGCTGCTCTTAAGCTGGCAGCCAGCGGGGTAGCTCTTATTCTAGCAACACTGGGTTACGACGTACCCTCTGTGCTTTGCTTCTTTTCTATGCCATTCCTTCGTTGTGTAAAGTAGTGGTTAAAGCTGCTTCGCGCGTTTTCTTATTCTAATTTTTTTAGCGGTTTCGGTGAGTCTCCAGTGTATTTCTTTTTTTGTATATTAGTGCTCCTGTGCGTAAACTATGCAATCAGGTTGGGCTGTTTTGCGCTACCGAAAAAAAAAAAAAAAGTCAAATGCTACTTATGGTCCCAGAAAGTAGCGCCTCCTAAGTGTAGAATGAAGGCTCTCCACCAGGTGACATGCAAGAACGTCCACTGTAGGTTTTTAAATTAACCTTGCTTTATAGCTAATTAGCCACCGCGCAAACTCTTGAGCATCGTTACACGAGTCCGGGAGGACACCCACCTACAAAACCTTTGCAGCGCGGCTTAGATGAATGATGCTCCATTACTTTAACTTCCTCCTTCGATGTATAGCATCTGTTTTCATTTCCTCGAGCAAAACCAAGAAAATATAGAATGGACGTTTGGGCGAGTTGGTAGGAGTCATTAGTGAAAAAGAGCGCGACTAGGACAAGGACAAAGAAGATATATAGACAGGACCAGAGCCGTTTATACTGAGAGAGCTTGGCCTCCTTAAGAAGATTTTGACAGTCTGGCAACCACTGCAGCATAGTCTGACAACTGGGGGATGACTACTTTCATTCGCCACTTTGGGGCCCTGACTTATAAGAATTATATGTGATTTCTCAGGAATAAAAGAGGTAAAGAAGAAACGCGACCTTGCGTTGTCGCGAAATCCGCTGGTTCTAGCGAGCAACAAGCTTCACACATTGTCCAGACCCTCTTAGTGTAAACGGCTCTGGACAGTACAAGTGCTTGTACTCTATATCTATTTTCTTTGTTCTCGTTCCAGTCGCGCTGTTTTTCACTATAGTCGGTTGCAAGCTAAGAAAAAACCGGAAATTCCTCTCAGAGGAAAATGTAATCCTACGCCGAGAAACGCCAGCCAATTGTTTTCATGACGTCACGATTCTGTGGACCAATCGCGATCCTTTTGAAAAAAAAAAGCTCGACATGGCTGCTGGCCTTAGCAACGCGATGCTATAGTTTCTCGTGATAATTATTCTGCTTTTTTGCACCGTGTTTTACGTGCCCGAGGTTACGCCACGAAATCTTGATGGTATCGGCTTGCGTTGGCAGCAGTTTTTGCGCGACAACGTGAGAATCTAGCGACGCTATCGCCAACGAAAATTTCGAAGCGGGCGCGAGGCTTAGCACTGCTGAGAGGTATGTTAGACGGTATGTTAGAAAGTATCTTGGACAGAAAATGAATTGTGAAGACGGTACATTGGACATGACTTTCTTTCTTTCTTTACTAAACAGCTATTTCGTTGACAAAAACGTATTCTAACTTATTTAAATGTCCTGAATGAATTAAATAAATATTGTAGTAGTTTAAGACAGGTTTCCTGGAGGAAGAAAAAGCAACGTTGCTAGCGAACTACTTTCTCGACGGCGGAGGCACTTCAGATGGGCGCAATGCGCTTGTGGGTGGAGCTAAAAGATTGTTCTCAGGTTGCATCCGACTATAGAAAAATATAGCAACGCAGCCAAGCTGCGCGCCTTGCGGAGTCTCCCAGTGGCCATCACTGAACGCGCTCTTTAAGTACGCGCGGAATTTGGTTCTTAGCCACGAGCGTTATGAATACCAACTGATATTTCGTACAAACGCTGTACTATATCAACAACGCAAAGGAAAGGAGCAGCTTCCCTTACTTCTTAAAATGTATAGCTTGGCTAGGTAAGCTGCATGTCATTACGCAGAACCGAAGTGACGTCGTCGTCGCCGAGCTGATCAGCTGCGCCACCTTGCCTAGAAATATTTACGTCCCTCCACTTGGATTTCATTATAAATTAGGTACCTCATTAAATTATCTACCCCATCATTATATTGCGTATTATAGCGATACCTTCTCTGCCTATCTTCTTACCTAGTGTTGTGATCGTTCGTTCCTACGTTCGTCATTCCTCGCCAGCAAAAGCCAGTATTCCCGCCAAATCTGTTGCCCGTTTAGAAAGTGCAGGACGAAGCCCCGTGCACTTGACAACATGTTCTAGCGTCTCGATATCCACATATATCTGTACCTAATAAAATTTAACCCTATATGTCTTTATCCTTAAGAGTTAGGGTCTCGCGTCAAAGAGTACTTAGCTTCACCGTGAATGATCAAACACCTGTTCCTTTTTCGTTCTTTTTTTCCCCTGGTTTTTTTCTGGCCTGGACATTCCTATAGCAGATTTTTCTCCCATCTTCGCTTTCACGTTTTCCTTTCTGTTGTAGGTATTTACATGCCAACTTTCGGTTCGGTTCGTTCAATTTGCGTTTCAACGTTTTTATGTATCCGTGCCTACCTCGTATCCTCAATTTAGTTTTGTTCATTAAGGATCCCAAAAAACGCCGATGTACCCCGTCATCTGGTGTGTTCCCATACTGTGCCAATCTGCCCACGCTTGTTTGTCGAATGTCTTGATTGAACTTCCAACCTCATGCTCCATTGCGAAAAGATTATACCCCGACAACTTTATGCCTAATATAATTCCACTGCCTTGAGTTTTAAAATACCTTAAATTACTTTCCCTTTCCTACTTATGTTTCCTTCGTGTTCCTCTAGATGTGTCCTTCATTTATTGAGCCATACCTTCAGATATCAGCACGTTTCTGCATATTACAATTTCTTGTATTTTCAGGGGTTTCCTCTTTTCACCGTTAAACACCATTAATCCTTGTCACTTTTAAAACTCATGCTCAAGATCTCCCATTCCTCTCCGCATATCCAAGTTAGTTCATGCAATGTATTTTGGACGTTCGCCATGAGAACTATATACAAAAACCCGCTTCGAAAGTTGGGCCCTTTGTTGTCTGATCTCTGCACAATAACGGACACAAGTACCAACTCTTCGAGTTCGATAGCGCCTTGGCTGAGGAGCCCTCTTGCTCGTACCGCGGTGTCTGATGGCGAACAAGAATATACTCTACTTAATAACTGCCCTTTCACAAGCCTCCCCGTTGGCGTAGTGTTTGGGCGTCGTGTTCACCATCTTAGGTTCCTGGATTCGATTCCCCTTGGAGGACTTCCGGCGTTTTGTTCTGTCTTGTCAATTATCCATCTACCACTTTCTCGCGCATGCGTATTCGCTTCGTGATATAGAGCAGAATTTTACCCGTGGAAGGTGGGCTGCCAAAACAAATGCGCATTAAAAATTCTCTCTTTCAAACGGCTGCTGAGCTCGAACGCCAAGTGATGTCCCTTCGCACGAGGGGTTGCTGTCGGTTTCGACGTGCCATCGTGCGAGGAACATGCACCGTGTGATGCAGACTCTGGGGACGGTTGTAGCGCACTAGTCCAACTGTCCTTCCACAGAGTCTCGAAAAAGAGGGACACTCGTTTGGACATGGTACCCTGCTAAGCGCAGTTCTACGCGACTAATGCTCAGGGGGCTGCCACTGTGCTACGCACGGCCGAGTCTAGCGGAGCGAGAGTGGGTACGGCAGAAGACACTCACCCTCGGCAGGGCCAAGGCGGCGGCGATACAGCCGACAACTGCGCAAAAAAGGAGCGAGGTGAGAGCTCAGTCCAGCACACCGGGGCGCGCTTTCACTCACCGACAATGATGGCGTACTTCATGGTCCCTCCTCTGCTCTCAGCTCCTGCGGGCACAAAGAAAGAGGACGCCTGTAGCACTCAACCGCAATGGGTCGGCGTGAGAGTCGCGGGGGCTCCGCGAGCTTCTCGTGCGCCTGGAAAGCGGCTCGAGACGCCCCGAGTGCCTCCCATCTTAGGCTGCTGCTCAGCGCCACAGTCGAACCGCCACGATCAATCCTCGCGAGTCGAGTATCGGCCCGAAGTGCGCGGCAGCTTCCAAAAGCGATCGACGGCACACCCAAGGCATCGAGCCAAACGCGCGTCGCGTGCGTGAACGGTATCCTCCGGGATATGCGTCGCGGGGATCGAATGCTTCGCTGGACAGTCCGAAAACGGTCGCTGCCTCGGAATCGCCGAGGCATCGCAATGAAAGCAACTGCCAGACTGTTTTCGACGGGGTACTCATCCGCGTGCCGGTGTGCTTGGGGACTCCTTTCGCGGATGACCACTCCCGCGTCGGTAGTGTAGCCGCGAATCGGGCCCCGAGGGAAGGATGCATTTCCAGTCAAAGCTCTGCTTGAGGTCCGAAGAAGAGCGTTGGCTGGACGTTTGGCGGTTACTAGCAAATTTTCAATGGCCCCTCGAAGATTCGGCTGTTCCATCTAAGCACAGATGGCAATTTGAGCCCGTTTCCCACCCGCGGGTCACGAATCGACTCTGCGTGAAGCGGTCCGGCTCGAGGTCTGGAGCGGCAGCCTCCAAAGGAAGCTCCGAGCCCAGGGTCCGAACACGAGCGAGAACCCCTATGCCCCCCGGTCCCGGGCTGCGGAGCCCGCGCACTGAGCGAGCAACTCACCACGCCGTGTGAGTTCGAGAAAAAGCTTCGGTGAGGCTGCACTCCAGCAGCGGCCCTTTTTATACCCGCCGGCCGAGCAAAAATGTCGTCAGTCTCGTTTGCGTTAGCCTTCCGACGGACGGCCCCCTCGGCCAGCGCCGAGGAGCGTGCCGCATCGGGAATGACGCAATCTTCGGACGCGGGGACCCGGCGACCCCCGCCTCCGGTACACCTCCGGTACACCTCCGAAAGGGCCCCGCCACCGCCCAGGCTCTGGTCCGGCCCCGCGGGCGACGCCGCACGTCCTTCCCAGAAACGGCGAAAGTGCGCGGAGCACCAGTCGCCTCGGGCGGGATGCTGGGGACATGGGAGAGTGCGCGGCGTGCTCCCGGCATTTCTGGAACTGCCGCTCGCGCGCCAAGTGTTCAGCTCGAATCATTGGGAAATTTTATTTCGGAGAAAACCCGGTGTAGCTACTTTGAAGACCTCGGTTTAGTGTGGCGCTTCTCCTTTGTTCCGTCTCCAAACGGATTAAATGTACCGAAATGGCACCTCCCTTACCAGACATGTACGTCAAGCCAGGCACGTAGCCACGGGGGGGGGGGGGGGGGGGGGGGGGGGGGGGGGGCATGGGGCCCGGCCTTCCCCCCCCCCCCTGAAATCTTCCATTTAGCCCTGGGACCTCCTCTCCCCCTTCCCCTCATAAAGCATTTTGTCATGGGCGCCCCCCCCCCCTCCCCCCGAAACAAAATCCTGGCTACGTGCCTGCGTCACGCGTTACTCATACTGTGGTTATTTCATTTCGGTAACGAGTAACTTATTTAGTTGTTTTCTTTTTAGGAAAGGAAGGAATAACATACTTAGTCACTTTTGAAGTCAAGTAACGAGTAACGGTTTTTGTTACCTTTGAGAAGTAACGTGTACAACACCGTTTAAAGAACCTCGTTTTAATTCTAACCTGAGTATGCGTCTATTGCGACAAAAGCAGATGGGCAACCTAAAAAACAACTAAACAGTATGGCAGTATAGTTTATCCCTGAACAATCAGTCCAATTCTACAGCTGCGTCATTCCATGCCAAAGTAGGCGCGGCATTTTTTTTTTTTTTTTATGGCTCGGATACTATGTACGGAAAAATTATTTCGTATAAAGAAGCCTCTGAACTTCTAAAAATTATTTTTTGTGTGACAAAATAAATTGTATTTTTGCTGACATCATGTTTTACATTTCGGGAATTTGCATGAAACCTATGTAGTTAAGAAAAACATTTAAAAAAAACGGTTGCTTACCACAGAAATTTAGGTGGGCGCCTAATTACAGAATAATATGCCCCATCTTACATTAAACTACACAGATTGAAAGACGCTATTTTGAGTCCAGATAGGAGCTCCAATAAGAAGAGACTTTAATATATTTCTTCGTTTTTTTAGTCAGCTTGGATGTGGGTGTTACCTACAATTCTTTCTTCCGTTATCTTTTTAAGAATAATAATTGAATTGCTCTTAGTAAATTTTCTGTCTCGTCTTGTTGAGTTTTAATGAAATCACAAAATCTCCAGTTTATGCTGAAACAGTCACATTGAGAGCCATCAAAAGCAATGTGTCACATTGAGAGCCATCAAAACCAAAACTTTCGAAATTGCCAAACGTTAAATTCACCTGATATGTTAAACGTTGAAAAATTAGAAAAAGTACGCTTTGTTCTTCCTGAGAAATGATTTTTCAAAGATGAGCTTCTCCGACCATTCCTCTAGGCGCCCGCCTCATAGGCGACGCACGCCGGTGTTCGCCGGCGATGCGTCAACGGTGTGAGACGCCGCAGCAAGGTCTCCAATGCTTTCCTTAAAACACGTTTTATTCAGTTGGCGTGGACGTTATCCTGACTTCCACGCATCCGTATCCTCTTTGCGTTACGTAATGATACTGGCGTCTTAACTTTACTTCTGCCCAGGCGACTGCCGACGAACCCAGGCCCGCATCGTCTGCTTTCCGAGTTCGAGAATGCGTACTGCGCGTCGACATCCGTCTGTCGTATGCTCAGACATAAAAACAGTTCAGACCAGATAGCTCTTCCTCGATGCAAAATGATAACAGTGACGTCGCTTCTCCATTGAACTTAACTATATTTTGATAGAACTAAGATGTATCGAAGTTCGTTGTCACATCCACCAAGGACGCGCTGCCGAGATAGGGGCGACGTCATAAAAACGACTACGTCACTCTTCTAAGAGTCATTGTGAGCAGGGCTTGTGGCAATCTTTTAACGGGAAATTTTAAAATCGGGAGTAAAAATGCGAAACCTGGTCGATAAGTAGCATCTAACGCACTATTACCCATTCGCAGCGGCTCCTAGCCTAGGAAAAAAAAAAAGGAGGACGGGCCGAGTACGAGGATGGAACGAGTTGGTGTTTCGTCCAGCTGTCCATGCGTTTTCCATTAAGACACAACGATTGGCGCAGTCGACCAAGCCTCAACTCAAGCATGAAGGTCGATACACCATCGCCGTTTCTACGGACGCCTAAGAAAAAAAGGAGTAAAAAGGTTTTAACGGCGCGTCTTCTTCCCTTCTACTGACGCTCCCCCAAGCGGACACGAGAAGGCAGGAACGAGACGTTTTTTTCTCCTTCTTTAGGCAAACGGGAGAAAGGTTCCGCCCTCCAGCCTCAACTTCTTTCGGTTTCGTTTTTCGAGCACGTCGCGCGCAATGTTTAAGAAATGTTGTTGAGTTGATTGAGCCTCAGCGGCAGCGAATTGGCCGCCTGTAATTCCGTCTCCCAGTTCAACCGTGCAGAACATTTCGGGTGCATTGACGTTTTTACCACTAATTTTATTAAACGTTCGAACTTTTAACCAGAATCGACCGGTTCGACTTTGTGGACAGTGTGGCCAGACCTTGGTAGAAGCACGTCTAGATTTGGAGTATTTCTTTTTTTTTTTTATACAAAGGGTGTTTTTGATTTAAGAACAGTTGCAATTAAAAGAAACCAATTCTAATCACTGAAGAAGTTAATAACTTGATGTTTTGTACTGTATTAACTAAAATAACCAATCAACGCTGCCCTTAATTCACCCCTTAGCCATCCCCATACTTGGGTAGTAATTCAATTACAGTAAATGGATTACTGTAATTTAATTACTTTTCTTGGTAATTTCTAATTGTAATTAATTACTTTCGGCTAAAAGGAATTGTAATTGTAATTTAATTACTTTCTAGCGTCAGTAATTGCAATATTGCAGGCACAATTACAATTTCTTTTGAAAAACTTCGGGGCTTGGACGGAAACTTTCTGAAAGCTTCAGCCAGTGTTGTACACGTTCCTCAAAAAAAGGAACGAAAGATCGTTCCTCGTTCCTTCTGATTTTTGGAACGCGTTCCCGTTACAAGTTACATGTGTGAAAAAGGAACTCGTTCCCGTTACATTTTAAAAAATGGAACGTACCGTTACGTATACGTTACATTTGTATTTTTCTTATTACTGTATTTAGTTAAATCAAGGAGTTTTTTTTTTTTTGTCTATCCCATTAGTAGTCAACATACGAGTTTGTATGTCGTCATGGAAGGGCAACAGGAGAAGAAAACAAGCGGAAGCAGGGTTTCATTTGTTGATATATTCAAGTTAAAAATCTCAGCTTTTAACCATATTCATGTTTGTAGTGGACGATTAAGACGAGCCGAATGTACTTTTACCCAACATTGTACGAGCGTTTTACACCAAGCTCACACGTTTCAATTGAACAAAGTCCCTTGTTCGAACTTAACAACAGTTGCTTCTCGATGTTGCCGTCCGCAAGACGAGCAAGTCGAGGAGAGAATAGGGCTTCTGGAAGGTCAGTCTTAAAAACTACAAATACTTCTTTGTAAGGTTGGCTTTGTTGTTCATTTTGAAGGTGGGGGGACAAGAGAAGAAATAATCTTTTCGTCTTGTGTGTGTATATATTTTAGGTGACCAATGTTCGGGATACAAGGGTGCGTTCGATGTCTGGCACTCTGTGATCTTGTAACTGTAGGGCTCGTTATGGATGTTCACAAGTGGCTGTAGTCGGCTTTAGATTTCTAGGTGTATGAGGATTTGTGGAACCAAAGAAAGTAGGCGAGTTTGAAACACCCCTCTTTCTTTGTCTTTTCCTACGACTAAACGTTTTGCGTTTCGTACCGCAGTTTCGGGCACTCAAAAAAGAATCAATGTCCACCAGCTCTCCTGCACCCGAAACTGTTAGCAAGCGAGGACCACACAAAATAATTTACAAGATTAGTAGCCAAAAAGGTAACGAGACCCTGCACTTCGTCAAGATATTATTTTTGTACTTTCAACATTTCCCTGTTCGATACAAAATAAAAATGACCCCAGTGGACGAAAAAAAAAGGAACGCCGTTACTCTTTCCGTTCCAGTAAAAATGTAACGCGTTCCCGTTCCAGTTCCAGCTATGCAAAATGGAACGGCGGCGTTCCTTCGTTCCTCGTAAAAGGAACGCGTTTCAGGAACGCCGTTCCGTACAACACTGGCTTCTGCGCCCGTACAAGCGGCCTAGCTCTCGGTGAAACACTCGCACACAGACACACACACACACACACGCACAACATAAAAGCGTCGCATTGTTTGTTGTTTTGTTGCTTACACTGCGGGCTGGGAGACAATTCTCTTTGGAGTCTACCTCAACGGCGCCGTGTAGCGCCGTCTGCGGTGCGAGCAGAGAACAATAGCGTAAGCACGCCACCATATTGAAAGAAAGAAATTGAGCTTCAGCTTTCAGCTGAGGGTATAAATTTTAATTGTCTATGAATTTTTTGTTTTTTTTTTTACGTCCCTCTTCCAGTACTGCCGCACATTTGTATCTTTGTATTATTTTCAAGTTTATTTCCTGCTGGTTTTTCTTCAGATAGTATTTGCATAAGCATTTTGGAGATTGACCTCGCACCAGTGAATATTGTCGCCAATGATTCGCGAGCCCCGATTCAGTCCTTATATATTTCTGACCCCTTATAATTTCAACTCAATGTAAATAATTTACAATACCATGATGTTTGTACGTGAATGTGGTCGTATTAGCGC